TTAATAAACCAGTTGAGCGAAATATTCCGAGTAATTACGAAAATGTCATTGACACTAAATCAAGGTACTAAAATAGTTACATTTTTTGAAGGTTACTGGACGACGACATTGTTCCTTTCAAGTTTTTATGTTCCTAAATTTTTAATTTAATTTTGCGAGAAAATAGATGGAATTTTATTTATTTCTGTCAAGGTTATTTCAACAACAAATTGTGTAGCACATTTTAAAAATTTTATAGCCACTTCAAATATGAATTTTAAAATTTCTTTTTTCTGCGTGAAGCGAAACATCTGAGAGGTTATTTTATTCGGTTAGTCACGAGGGTCTAGCAGGTAACGTCGTAAATACCCACAAAGACCACCTGAATGCAGAAACCATTTTCATCAGCATAAATCCAACAATTGCCTTTACAAAAATAAATAATTTTAAATTGGATACTTGAAATTCAATAAGTTCAATAAAAAGTATTCGTAATCTTCAAATTTTTATATAAAGATGGTATTAAACAAGCAACAAATATTAACTAACTATTTATTGTAGATTAGATAAGCGTGATAACGACCTAATTTATCTTGTACATATTTGTTTCGAAATAATGAATAAATTTATATTCAGATTTAATACGAATTAATGTTCATTTTTCGACTAATTAAATTTAAACAAAAAAATTCCTAGCTGTCAGTTAAAATTATTTACGGCAAAAATCTATTTTTAAGAAGAAAAAATCTTTTGTTAATTTACTCCAAGAGATTAAATATAATCTCAAACTAAATAACTTGGACGATATAAAAATAAACAAAAATCTTTTTTTATACGAAACACAGTTGCAAAATTTAAAATTTCCTAATTAAAAACTAGTCCTTAACTTTGTCAATTTCAAGGCACATTAAATTATGAAACAGCAACAAAATACCTGTGACAATAGAAGTAAGTTTTGATGAAAAACCGTCCTCAATAGGGTTTTAAAACCGTACAAAATGTAGTTTACCAGCTAGTAAATGTTTTATTACTCCCTATATTCCTCCCAACAAATTTCTAGGTCCACATTTCTGTCTTAAATGTGTGCAAGCTTTCCGACCTGACAGCTAAAAGAGATAATAAATATCGTCAATGGACGCATCTCCTATTCAATTTTAAATTTCCCACTCCATTTGCGTGACGTTATCTTATCCTGTTTTTTCAGCATAATTAAAATAACTTTTTTCCGAATTAATTATTAATAATAAAGATTGGTTACATAAAATCGACGAGAGAATGTTTATACCAACGATTTACTTTCATTTATGGAATTAGCTGTAAAAATTACCGTCTAATTACACGTATCCAATCAAATAATTAAAACCGGTTTATTTGAGGAACATCTTCTCCCATTGATTCTAATTAAAATTGAGCACTTTTTTAATTATTTTTCATTACTTATTAAAATATTTTGGCAGTAGCACCGCGTGCTCGTTTTGAAAGCCATTTTAATAATACCAACTCTGATCGCATCTATTTCTGAAACATTCTGGTTTACATTCAACACTATTCTAATTTTAGTATGCGTTTGTTTTTATCTTTACTTCACACTCAGATAAGTAAAGCTTTATGACAAGCCTGGTAAAGAGAACAGTTTTCTACATAACAAAAATGTATTATAAATTCTTATATTAATTTTATTACAATGGAATGCAAATAATTAACAACAAATTAGAAAACCCACCAAAAGAAAATTTTTCTTCATAGAACAAGGATTATACTAAGGATTCTAACAAAAACTAATCTTCAGGTAGAGAAATACCCCACAACGTCGCAGATGTGGCCGAAAATAAAGAATAGCAGGTTCATTATTCTGTGAATCAGTCTTTAAATGCAGCTATTCGAATTGTGTGTCCACAAAACGAGATCAAATCAATATATAAATTGATTGAATTGAAAAATATTGTTACATTGCTGAAAAAAATGTCAAAGCTCGTCGTCACCGCGAAATTGCTGTAAATTTGCATTTTTTATTTCTGTAGACCGTCAACAGGCGATAACAAAATAAAAAGAAAGTTGAAGCGTTGTAAATAAATATTATGAATAAATAACTTGTTAGTAAATGTTAAATGGTGGCTTAAAATATTGTATCCTTATGTTTTAAAAATAATACACCAATTTATTAGTAGTACATTTGCCATGCCGTGGTTTTTTGATAGAATGCCAAAGACAATGACGGTTATGTGTGAATTTCCGGTGTCCAAAAAAATTAAAAAAATCAATTTACATAAAAAGGATCAAATATCCATTGTTTAAATTTTGATATCCGGTAGGAAAATTTGGATTTTTGAGTTGTAATCAATACAATTGGGATAATTTAGTTAGGAAATGATTAAATTCGAGTACTGTAATAATTTACTCCAAATTCAGTAATAATTAAATTCGTAATTGCATAACCTAATTGAATTTTGATGAACATGTTCCAGTTTACGACCAAATAAACATACCCATTGTTCTATTTATTGCGTGAAGGTGAGAATTTAAACGAATTTATAAAATCAAAATTAATCGTAGACATCTTGACCTAATATGTATACAATAATAAAATGGACTATGAAATATAATAACAGGAAACGATAATAATGCGATAAAATAACACAAAGATTGCGTGTAGAACGATTTCGATCCATTACAGCTTCGATAATGTTTAATTAACTTTACGAAAATAACGTCTTTTAGTAAATTTAAGTGAAAAATCAATTATTTCACAATCGTTACGCAATTTATTAAAAATAAACAAGAAAGGTTTCCTCGTGCTATCCAAAATCATTAGACATGCAGTGAAAGTTCCAGTGGCACAAAAAAGAGCGACGAATTAAAAATAGTAGGTAATTATTTGAACACAATACCGTTATTACAATTTTGATAAATTTATGTTGACATTAGCAACTAAATTTAATTTATCCCTTTACATCGCCTATAACCATCTGGTTTTATCACACCAAGGATGTTCATGATTACAAGACTAGAAACTATAGTTTCTAGAATGGGATGAACTTGGTCTTAATTACCCAATCCCAGGGCGTTAATAAAAGACGACTAACGTTTACCTGTCGCCGTTGTTTTCCCTCTGATGTTATTGCCATCTTCTGTTTTGTTTGCCTTAATTCACCTCCATTACAATTTCATTTCTCTCCCCCAATCTGTTGATCTAATGTTTCCTCTCTACCAAAAACGGAAAAATACCTCTTTAAATTTATGCAAGTGAAAGTTGAACTTGACGCTTGAAAAAAACTATTTATCAAAATACGCTTCGGTATAACAAAATAATATTTGCCATGTCAAATTCGCCCCTCTTTGATAAACCTCTTCAACTTATTCAATAATGCATTTATCTTTGTCGTTTATCGGATAAGGGCACGGCCGACGTATCACCCTCTCTCTCTCTGCCAGGCAAGCAGATGTCAAATTTTCCTCTATGCTTGAAAATACAATAATTATCCTTCGACTTTTTCATCAAAAACCTTCTCAAACGGTTTTTGTGCATTTTTTCGTATGATTTTAATCGTAAAATGCGAAATTCAGCGTCTGGGTAATCTCCCCAAGTCACAAACTAAACAAATGTATAACCTCTTGTAAATATTTAAATAACACAAACAAATCTGTTCCGAATCGTTAAAAAACAATTCAGATGACTAAAACTATAATAATTACTCAATCGTTCGTGTAGGAAGAGTGAATCTCAAACGTTCACAATGACTGAAAGAGAAAGTCGAGTTATTGCTATAGGTATTCTAAAATAATATAAATTGTCGTGATTGTCTTGTGTTTCTTGATTGGATTAATCCGTGACACTGACCTGAACTCGGAGAAATTCTCTTTCAAAAAATTTAAATGAATGCAATATTATAAAAAATAATAAATGAGGCATTCCCACGCCACTGTCTACATCTACAATTTTCTGTTGACTTAGCGTAAACACACCCAAAGATTTGCCAAGTTGGTTAAATTTATCTCCGTCGACCGACTTAATCTGAAAATGAGTAATTTCATCAAGTTTTAGTTAAAAATTTCCGTTAATTAAGCGAATTGTTTAAAAAATACTTCAAAATTGAAAACAGGTGCTTGTTTCTTTTAAAATAAAACGAAACGTGTTGTGAAATCAAACAACACAAAGCATGCGGTGTAAACACGTACATAAATTGAACCTAATCTTACAAATTAATAAGACAATGATTAGAGTCAAGTTTGTTTATTTTTGTAAAATAAAAAGATGACGAAAACGTTCCGAGATAATGTTAGGTATTAAAAAAAGTAACAATGTTTTAGGAGAGAGGACAATGGAAAGAATAAATATTTAACAATGTACACATTTGGATTCCTCTAATAATAATTATGTACAATTCGAGAGAGTGTGAAGTAAGTTTTGATACGAATGGGTGAAAGTCTATTTTCGTGATAAAAGCCAAGAAAATTCGGCGATGTTGATTCGGACGTGTTAATTTAAAAGTGAGATAAATGTGATTAGCGAGTGATTTTCGCAGGGAAATTTAATTAGTTATCGATTTATGGACAAAATTTTCAATTTTTCACCGCTAATAAATCGACTTCAAATTACAATAAGTTTCGGATATAGAAATAATAACGTCATATATAAAGTAGAAAGAGAAACATAAACTAGAGTGGGATAATCTTTGTAAACCGGCTCAAGTGTAGCTCTACTGGAGAGAATGTTAGATGGCATCGCCATGAAGCGGCAAGTCACCGGCTATTAAAACGGCAATCCCGCACTGCCAGCGAAAACAACAAACAGACGCTCCATGCGAATAGTGAACCGTGATCCATTCGACTTCCAAGGCTTCATTTACATTAAAAATAGTTAAAAAGAAAAACTGATTTATAATTAAATGACGGTCGTAATTGCAAATCCTTATAAAATTCAACACGATTGTAATAATTTTCTCCCATCATCGATGGATTTATTGTTTTATAAACCGTTATCGTTATCTGATAGTCGGACAAAAATAGAAAATATTCATCACCTCTCCATGGTCCATCCGACCTTCCGGTGTATTCTCTGGAAGAAAATAAAGACGTAAACTCGCCAACACTTGGTCACTATTTTTATCACTCCATAACAACTGCAATTCACCAATGCACAATAAATCCGAGTCAATCCACAATTTAACAAAGAAAAATTCACTCAAAGTCACTATTCTTTTAATACCGTTTTTCGTATATTTAAAAGCCTTGTAAAACGTATACGGTCCATGTTGGCCACAGGGCCCCCCCACCAACTGCAACAAAATTAGAAAAAATAATTAGCAATTAAAAAATTAATCGCAGCCATCCGCGACTTAAATTTAATCGTCCTATAAACAATTACATTAGTCCACTATCACATTTAGACGAAATTAAATTTATTTGAATTAATCAGCAATTTTATTGTTATGAATATGCGGGCATTCGATCGGAAATTAACTAAAAATAACACGGATTGAGACTGGACCGCTCGCTAAAAAAACAAATGCCACTTTTCTGACAATTTCCATAATTAAATTAATTTCCATAACAATTGCGATTAGGAAAATTAATTAATAATGGGTGATTTTCACCGGAAAAATCCAATAATGTCCCCACCACGTCTCTAACACCTTAAAACACCCCCAAAATAATTTTCGTACCTGTATATCAGCATTATCCATTTTTTTTTCTATTAATCACAGAGCACTACAAACAACACGCTGACACCATCGTCTACTTTGTATTTACTCTAATTATATGACGTCACGATACAGAGCTGCGCTCGTAAAAAGTCGCTTTATTCCGCCGTTATTCGTTTGTGCTGGCGCTTCTGCAACAAATGGTGGAAGGAGGAATGGTGCACAAAGAAATTGACATTGCTGTGGTTGCACTCAGCAAAAGCGGTTCCTGCTTGAGGAAAGTGAAACCGTGATGTAAGTGTGAGTGTAAATAATTTTTAGGTTGCAGGTGACGTTGCAAACTGATGCGATTGGATGGATTCCAAGTTCACTTGTTTCTGCGCGCCATTACGACCGACGGCCGAATTTCAGATAGATTTCTTGGGCCGTTTTTCAGATTTTCGCAATTGTTTTCTGTAAACAGCTGACCGGATGTATTGTTGGTTGCCTAACTGAGTGAAGTTCAAGGTAAACAGGTCTTTATTTACTTGTTTACTAGTGTAATTAATTTATATTAAAAAATGCATAATTGTATTATTAGCATGATATTTAAACATTGTGCGTCATGAGTACAATCCTAAAACAATTCTCAATATCACAGTTTTTTTTTAATAATTTGCGGTTTGGATTGTTTTATGATTTTCTTTTGTTTGACGCGTTTTGCATTTTTTTAATATAATATTGAGGTCATGTAAATTTAGAATACATAAACATAAGTATTTTTAATTTGTTTATTAATTTCAAATTTTCCCGCTTGTAAACGACGTACAATGTTTATTTTTATTCCACCTATTTATAAGAGCAAATTAACAGTTTCATAAATCAGACATTTTCTTTTTTCACAGAAAAATAATAAAATGTGTGCACTGACGCAATTAAACAACGTAATTGATTTTGTTTTTGCGTTTGCTACAATTTTACAGAATTTTTACTTTATTAGTGTTTGAAAATTTGAAACAGGTTACATTATAAGTATGTATTATTCTTTAGCAATTATTATTATAGTATAAAAATCGTTCTACTATACAAAACATAAAATATGTGTTTGGAGTTTTAGCTTTTACCACTAGTAACTTAAAATAGTATGTGATCTTTAAAAGCAGTTGTAAGATTATAAGTTTACCTACTAGAAGTAGTTTAGAAAGTGTAGTTCCGTTGTAAATGTAATAATTACAATAATATACGGAAGTGCAGCACATTATGGTTGGTTCTAGCATGTTAGAGTATTAATGTGTAAATAATTAATGATTTCTGCAGGTGCAAAGTTGAAAAACAGTAACATTTCTGCCAGTAGAAATAAAAAAACATATATATACAAATATTCATTATGTTAATTTTTATTTTGTGTAATTTCCTGTTATTTTTATTTTAGTTCTTATTCGTATGACCATTACAAATAGGATACTTAGCTTATACGAACATTTTTATATATTTATATGTATTTTTTCTTTTTAGTAAAGCTGCAGTGTTTTTTATTGAGATATTGCGAATGTATTGTAATTAAAGTGTTTAATTAAAATTTTATTAGAACATAATCAAGATGGTGTTTTATGTCTCATCCTTTTTTTTAAATAAATTTTTATAGTAAAGAAATAAAAAATTCAAACATTTATTTATTTATTTAAATTTTGTGGTTATTTGGTAATGATGGTATGGTATTGTATGGTCATGAAAGAGAATTAACAAATGATGCTTAAAATAATTTGTCAGGAACTGGCCATGACGCAATTAACGGGAATTAATTTTAAAACTAGTGAAAAAAAAGATCTCAGTTTGTATCAATATTTTCTACGACATTCAAATATTTGTAACAGAAAAAAGGTTTAAGACGATTCCTAAACCCACTTTTTAGAAATGTATTACTGGTTGCAGGATCTCGTTGGCAAATAAATTGTTTTTCAAAGTAGTAAATGAATCTTTGTTTCATAATTTAATGCATTACAAAAATACCATTCATTTTAAAATCTATTAATGTTAACATTACTAAAATAACCGTGAATGCCTATTCGTAAGATGTAATTGGTAAGTACATAAATTTCTAATTTATTCCATGTTTTCATCGGTTTATCAATCCAAATCATAAAGTGTCGAACCGACATAAAATTCTCGGTACATTTTCTGTATTAAATAGAACCAATTCCTCACGACACAATCCTCACTCACCCACACTAAAGGTCCACCTCCTTCTCCAGAACAAACATCTTTGTCTTTTTCACCACCTGCACAAATAAGACTTTTATGTAATTTTCCCCTTAAATTCAATTTACAAATTGGATTGTCAAGTAATTTCCTTTGAAAGCGGTGTATAAAACCCTTTTGCATCATACTTATTGTCTTTACTCCATCCAGTAACTAAATAAACACTTCTACTTTTCCAAAAGAAGGAAGTAAAGCAACGGAAATAAACATACGAAAGTTATATTCACTAGAAAAGAAAACGTTTCGTTCAAAAATAGCAGCACAATGTCGTTTTGACCAGTTTTAATTTTATAGACTTCGTGGAATTTAATGGAACTTTCTAATCTTGGTGTTTTAAAATTTCAGACGATGGAGAACAATCTGACGATGTAATCGTTCTTTTCCTTAAAACATTGAACCGGAATCATTACAACAGAAGGGTGGATAAGAGTACCGCCACATATGCAACTACCCTTTCTTGTAACAATTAAAACAAGATATTCCCACATGTTGTCTTGTTGCACAACTTCAGATTTTATATCTTTAACAAATGTCAAAAGTATGAAGAATGTTGTACTCCTCAAATCGATTACAAAGTTCAGAATGTCACTGGGTTTATCTTTGGGAAAACCAAACTACAACAGAATTTTATTTCATAAATTTTATTCTAAAAATTTACTTTTGAACAATTTTTTTTATTTTCAATAACAGTGTATGCATATCTGAATGAAATGCAATAAATTCAAGTAATGATACCTACCAAATAACGATTTTGCAGATATAATTCACATTCAGATTATGACTGTCCAAATATGAAAATAAGATTATTACAAGCAAAAATGAAAAATCCATCATATAATTAGATTAAGTATTTTACAATCGTACAAACGTTGATATGCTGTTCAAAACAACTGTAACTAAATCATGTCAAACAATAACAAATATATCAGCAGTTCAATAATTACCAGTACATATCAATGTTTCCTACTCATTTAAAACATCAACTGATAGTTTAATATAAAGAATTATAATCCAATGTAAGTATTCATCTATTGGAATAAGATAAGTTTGCATTCTTTTATTTGTAGAAAAAGATGCGATCTTTTAACATTTTGTGTTGTATCTCTTTTGCGTTTTTAACATCTCATGTGGATGGGCAAGCTGACGATTGCGAATGCGTTCCTTTTTATTTATGCAAAAATGGCACAATTAACACTGATGGAGAGAATATTATTGACATCAGGTAAATAAATTGAGAATATATTGGAAATCATTTTCTCATTAGTATGTTTATTTTTTAGAATCAATACAAATGACTGTCCCAATTATTTAGAATTTTGCTGCTCCACAAAAGAAATTACTGAAAAACCTAAACCTAAATCTCCTCTGATAACAAAATCAGGTTGTGGTTATCGCAACCGTAACGGCGTTCAATATCAAATAACGGGAGACACAAATAATGAAGCCCAATTTGGAGAATTTCCTTGGACACTTGCAATTTTGGGTAAAGATGATGACACCTTTTCCCTCAATTGTGGAGGATCGTTGATTCACCCACAAGTTGTTCTTACTGCGGCCCATTGCGTCCATTCAATAGAAAAAATTGTTGTGCGAGCGGGAGAATGGGATAGTAAAACAATTCAAGAGCCTTTGAAACACCAAGATGTAAAAGTTTCTTCAGCGGCAGTCCACCCTCAGTTCAATAACAAAAATCTCAAAAATGACATCGCATTGTTGTTTCTGGAATCGCCTGTGAGTTTAGAAGAAAACCATATCAGCCTTGCTTGTTTGCCAAAGCAAAATAAAGCCCCTTCTTCGAGTCGATGTTACGTGAACGGTTGGGGAAAAAACCACTTTGGAAAAGATGGAGTTATTCAAAACATTCTTAAAAAAATCGAACTTCCGATTGTTGCACATGAGCAGTGTGAAAATGATTTCAGAAAAACAAGATTGGGGAAGCATTTTATACTTAATGAGAGTTTCATGTGTGCTGGTGGTGAGGAGGGCAAAGATGCGTGTACTGGTGATGGTGGTGGACCTTTAGTCTGTCCAATAGAAGGAGAAAAAGATAGATATGAGCAAGTTGGAATTGTCTCATGGGGTATTGGGTGTGGCGAAGAAGGAGTACCAGGGGCTTACACCGATGTTGCCCGATTCAGAAATTGGATTAGAAAACAAATGCTAAAAAAGAATTTCACAAATGCTAATAATAAATAAATTCTGATTTGTTTGACATTGTTTTAGTAGCACCATCTATGAAACTTCCTTGCTATAATTGAACAATATTTGTTAACAAATATATGCGCATGCGATTAATGTAAATGTTAATAATAATAATATATGCGCATGCGATTAATGTAAATGTTAGTAATAATAATAATAAAAATGTTAAGCCGAGGTTATTTCAAGCTCAGACAACAATGTTATTAATAAAAGATTATATCGTCTGTTTTCTCACCACTATATTCTACATTTTGAGTCAAGCACAAACTTTTACCGGAAGTGAGGAAGCAAAATGTGAATGTGTGCCTTTCTATCTTTGTAAGAATGGCAATATTAACACAAACGGCAAAGGACTAATTGATATAAGGTAGTGCTAATTTAAAAACATTCCAATTTTGATTTACTGTTTTTTAGAATGAAACAAGAAGAGTCTTGTTACAGTAATATTGAGTTTTGCTGTGAAAAAACACAGATAATCCAGTCAAGATTGGTAAAAAATCTTGAACCACTTAAAAATGTTGGTTGTGGTTATCGTAACGTTGAGATAGAGAAGACTAAAAGTAACCAATCTCAATTTGGCGAATTCCCTTGGATGGTTGCAGTTTTCCACAAAGGAGAAAACGAGTCAAAGCATTATTACAAATGTGGAGGATCTTTGATCCATCCTCGTGTAGTTCTCACCGCCGCGCATTGCGTTACTCCAGCTGGAAGTTACAAAATAAGAGCTGGTGAGTGGGACAGTCATTCGACTCAAGAACTCTACCAACATCAAGATAGGGACGTTATTCAGAAAGTGGTTCACAGAAGATATGATACACGAAATCTCCAATTCGACATTGCTTTACTTTTCTTGAATTCGGAGCTAGATACAGCCTCCCACATCAATGTTGTTTGTTTACCACCATCAGGTGTTGAGATATCTTCCGGCACTTGTTTTGTGACCGGTTGGGGTCAGAAGGAATTCGATAAAAACGAAACAGAACATATTTTGAAAAAAATTCAATTATCACCAATTCCTAAAGTTGAGTGTCAAAACAGATTTAGAAAAACAAGGTTAAAGACAAGATTTCATCTACATCCAAGTTTTATGTGTGCTGGGGGTGAAGAAGGCGAAGATGCTTGTAGTGGGGACGGTGGAGGTCCCTTAGTTTGCCGAATAGAAGGTGAAGATCGATTTCAACAAGTAGGAATCGTCTCGTGGGGACTTGGATGTGCCACCAAGGGTATACCAGGAGCTTACGCGGATGTTGCATTTTTACGAAACTGGATTGATAACGAAATAAACAGGAGAAATCTCAATACCAGTGGTTATAACTTATAATTATGTTAATAATTTTGTTTAATAAACAACTTTTTTACTCAAGAAGAGATTGCTCCGTATCCAAGCTCAATTAATCTCGCATCTATCCAATTGCTAAATTGTGTAAGATTAGTGTAAACAATAGAGTCTTTAGTTTTAAGTTCATCTTCGCAATTATATGGGCTCCAAGAAACAATACCAACTTGAAAATAACGATGGAAATTATCGGGACATACTAAAGGACTACCACCATCGCCCTAAAAAGTTTTACGTTATGTTCTAACACTTATTACTAAAAAAAGTAAGTATTACCGAACAAATGCTGTTATTTCTGAAATTTTCTACAGTGCAAAAGAAAGAGTTGTGTAAAATAATTTCATCACCTAGATCTGTTTTCAAAATATTCTGACAGTCTGTATTTGTGAATACAGATATGTGTTTTTCTTTAAAAACAGTTGAATAATTACCATTTTTTTGCATACCCCAGGTAGTTACCAAACAGTTATTGAAATTAATGTTGTCCATATTTGTTGGAACACAAACAGTCTCAATATTATTACTTTTAATTAACGATTTGTTAAGAATTAAAAGCGCTAGATCGTTATAAAAATTTTCTTTGAGAAAATGCTCGTAAATGATAATTTCAGCAACATTTCTCTCTTGATAGTTTTCCTCTTTTGACGAATTAAAATCCCTTTGTTGTCCCGCCCTTATTACAATATCTTCCGGTTTCAAACTGCAGCAAAATCAATTTCATATTACTTACTTTCAAAAATTCAACTCACTTTTGGATGCAATGTGCTGCAGTTAAAACAACAATTGCTGAAAGTAAAGAACCTCCACAAAACGGTCTCCCATTTAATGAATTTGCGTTAAAAAGTGTAACCATCCAAGGGAATTCTAATTTTGCGTTAGTGTCAACTCCACATTGAGACTGAAATTCCAAATTCATGGTTGGAACATGTGTCACGGAGTGAATTGTCGGGTTAGCGATCTGGCAACAAACTTCCAAAATGTGGCCACATTTTGGGTCTGCAATTCTTGGATGAATTTGACTGGAACCATCTACTTCCGGGTAATCAACAATCGTATTAGTGAAGGGATCACAATTGTAATAAGGGACACATTTGAATTTGTTTTTTTGATCTCCTTCCCCGCATTTTAGCAAGGCTTCTAAATTTTCAGGGTGTGGTGTTACAACTTCTTCGTAGTTATTAAAAAAATCGTCAGCATGGATTGCCTTCAATAAAAATAAATAAACAAATAATAAAAACAGTTGTTTTGTGTAACATAGATTGTTTTGGCTCATTATAACGTTTACTGTGTTTTGGAATAAACATTGATATATTTAAAAATATAAAAATGGCAGGAAGTTCAGAGATTAAATGATATCCACCCACGATAGATTGTTTCATATTTATTAAAATTTGTAATAAGCGACGATACAGCCTTCCTTAATATAAATTTACATTGATAAACGTAATTATTGCACGTATGAATTAATGTTAATACCCAATTCTTGCAGTCTTAAGTCAACCCAAGTCCTAAAACCCGCGACATCGGCATAAACACCAGGAATTTGACTCTCTCCACATCCTATGCCCCAAGCCACTATCCCGACTTGCAAATACCGATTAGAATTATTGGGATCAGGGCAAATCAGAGGGCTTCCTCCATCACCCTACAAATCAATTATTAAATCCAATCAAAATTTTCTCCCAAGTACTAACCGTACAAGTGTCCAAATTTGGTTGACCTCCTGCACATATAAAAGATCTGTGGAGGACAAAAGAACCCCCTAATCGAGTCGTCCTAAGTGCTTTTTGACAGTTTTCGTTGTGTACTAAGGGCATTTTAATTTTTTTTAGGATAACCGCGTATCTACCTTTATCGCCTGTGATCAAAATTTAAGTAAATTTTTCGATGTGTTGGGATTATTACCAAAAGAGTCCTTTCCCCATCCTGTTGCAAAACAATCATTTGCATTGAAGCGTTGGTCTTGATTTGGTAAACACACAGTGCCCACACTTGCAGTTTTAGTAAATGGACGATCTAGGATGAGAAGTGCAGCATCGTTGTAGAGACTGCCCTTAAGGAAGTGTTCATGAACAATTTTTTGAGCAACATTCCTCTCTTGGAAAGGAATTCGTTCATTGGTAGTCTGTGTATCCCACTCGCCAGCTCTGACTTTGATTTCATTAATATTAACACTAGAAAAAATAGATGTAAAAAAGTCGGTACTTCAGATTTTATTTACTTGTGGACGCAGTGAGCACCGGTCAAAATCACTCTAGGTCCAATCAAGGAGCCTCCACAGATTGCTAGTTGTTGACCACCAGTTGGGTTCTTTCTCAGTATAGCCACCATCCAAGGAAATTCGCCAAAATTTGCCTCATTTGTGCTCCCAATTAAGTTAAAATCAAGTCCTTGGATATTCCTAATGCCACAGTTGGCCAATCGTGAGCTATTTGTTGGTGTTTCATCTGTTCTAATACTAGGTGTTGGAGCTGTAGTTGGTGCGGGAGTTGGTTGAGGGTTGGAGGAGTTGGTCCCTTCACCAATCTTACAACAAATTTCCAAGTAATGGTCACACTTTGGCTCATCTTCCCCCATTCTAAAACTCTTATTAAACTTTATTCCTATTTAAGACCAATTTTACCTTATGTTGATTTTGTTTGTCCCGTCAATGTCTGCATTCTCTTGCACAGTGTTGGTGTTAGGGTCACAGTTATAATAAGGAACACACACAAAACGGTTTTGTTGTTCACCTTCACCACATTTTGTTAAAGCTCCGATACTTTTCAAAGGTGGAGGAGTCACTTCTTCATAATTGGATAAAAAGTCAGCGAAAGAACTGTTTGTTCCAAAAATACTATTTATAGCATCTTCTTGATCGTTTTGTGCAAAAACAAAATTTGCAAAAGTAATGATTAAAAAAAAATTCATTCTAAAAGATTTTTTTGACTAGAAATACAGCCGCTTCACATGACTTACGTTTATTCACTGGTTAAGGATTGTTTTGAAACAGACGGAGCGTGAAATGTTTCTTATTTTCTTCGACTCAGGGGAAAACCACCTAATAACGAAATTCGTTACAACGCAGTCAAGGTTGAAGGTTATCTTGGAGTGCTTGTAGAGAGAGTTATTAAATTAACAATTATCATATTGAAATAGAATTTTAATTACATAGATGCAACTTAATAAATGACTTCATACTTACCGGCGATGACTTCAACAATGATTAAAAAATGATTCTTAGTCAAAGCCAGGCTACTAAACTGCTAACTAACTGTGAAAAAAATGTTAATTAAATACAAAGATGTCTGCGTGTGGGGTACTAAAAATAATCATTAATTACAAAAAGACAGTTATGACGTTACGAGATTTTTAAGAATACCCAAACTGGTTTATTTAATGCCAATCATACAGTGTTAATGACCTAAATATACACATGCAAATTGTGGGATTTACTAGGGACTGGGAATTTGTAGACGAGACACTCACAGATCATCTCTTTTTACAAAAAAAAATGTTATGGTCATGATGTATTTATTCCGAGATCAAAGGTTATCATATTATGTTTTATTTAGGAACTAGGTCATGTAAGGCTTATTGCTAAGGTTCAGTCTTTCCATTTGTGTGTCCACCCAAATCCGGGATTTGGAAACGTCAGCATAAACTCCCGGAGTTGTTGTTCCACAACCAAGACCCCAAGCTACGATACCAGCTTGGAGGTAACGAGCTGGGTTTTTGGGGTCTGGACAAACCAAAGGACTTCCTCCGTCACCCTAAAATCACGAAATTACCGCACATGAAATAAATTATGAATGAAAATTACGGTGCATGTATCCCTGCCCGGAATTCCCCCAGCACAAGTAAAACTCTTGTGCAATTTGAAGAAATTCCCCAATTTTGTTTTTTTGAGTGCAGCTTGGCATTGGGAGTGTGGTACAATTGGAAGTTCAATTTTTTTCAAAATCATTTGGTATTGGCCTTCGCTACCATAAGCGTTTTTGCCCCAACCAGTTGCAAAACATTCTTGGGAATTAATAATTTCGTCTTGGTTTGGCAAACAAACAGTTCCAATGTGTTTAGCTTTATAAAAAGGTTTATCCAAAACTATTATAGCAACGTCGTTGAAAAGTACACCATCTTTGAATGCTTCGTGGATTATAATTTCCTCGACTTGTCTTTCCTGATAAGGAAATCTCTCGTCTTGAGTTTGAGTGTCCCATTCTCCAGCACGAATTTTAATCTCTTCAGGTTTAAACCTGTTAATTTACAAAATCTCGTAAGTGGTAAAAATAGTTTTAAACATTACTTATGAACACAATGTGCACCAGTTAAAATAACTCGAGGTGCGATGAGTGATCCTCCACACAAAGCAAATCCTTGATCCACAGATGGGTTATAATTTTTCTTCAAAACCGCTACCATCCATGGAAATTCGCCATATTCGGCTTCGTTATGAGAATTTCCCGTGATTTTAAAATCAATACCGTTATTATTGCGAATACCACAGAAGCTTAAACTGGGGGCTGGTTGTGGTTTTGCGGTTGGTGGAATCTGAGATGTTGTTAAATGGTTTTGGGTTGATGCGGTATTGTCAGTTGGATGTGGCTTGGTTGTGGGTGGAATTTGAGACGTGGTTGAATGATCCTTGTCCGGTATTTGACAGCATACGTCTAGAGCTTTGGTGCATAATTTAGGCACACCCAATCTAAAAAAAATGTAAAACTTTTTGCAATGCTATCTGGCAATGTACATTTTTATACAGGAACTGAAGTTTTGAAGTTTTGGTTGAAATAAAAATTTATGCAGTTTTATGCAAACACATTTATTTAGTTCTAAATGAATGAGTCTTATTAGGGTGTTAATGTTTAGTTTATATTGTAAATCAATAAAGTTAAGGATTACATTGAGATTAGCTTTTTCTTAAAACGAAATGAAATAAAAAAACATTTTAACATAATCCCCGATATCCTATGAACACTACGAAAATAGGTAAAAATTATTTAAATAACACTAAAAATCATTTGAAATTTTGTTATTAAAAGTCTCAAGTTGACCTACTTGCTGAAATGACTTTACTAGATAAGTACTACTAACTTAAAATGAAAATTAAAGGTTTTCAAGTATGTATGTGTTCAAAATATTCAAAAATTGTACCTAATGGTAGCATTGGATAACTAGCTTTTTTATTTCCATTTCCATGAGAACACATTGTATGTACTCAATTATTCTTTAATAAATGTTATTTTCACTTATTTAGAATAAATGAATATAGCTAAAATTTACATATTACAACATTTACATATTACAAACACAGTGAGAGAACAAAGAGGAAAAACTAAGAATATTTTTTTAATTAAAAAAACAGTCAAAGTAAAAAAATCTTATCACAAATGGTATCTGAAGTTTTCAAGAACGAATCGTCACATTTACCAATACTTTTGATAAAAAACAAGATAAAAGCAAAGTTTTAATGCATTAATATCCATTACATCAGGCTATAATTTATTGTTACAAAAAGGGGGAATACACAACTAAAACATCTGTTTTTGGATCCAAGTGTTTATCTTTGTCATATTTTTATCTATTACCGGAACTTTATTGTATTTATGGGCAATATTTATAATTTAATACAATTTTGATTTTTATAGTTATAGAATTGGAAACTTCCCGTAATGGGATCAACGGATAACAATGTCAACACCGTAATTAGAAAAAAAAAGAAGCAATTTTAAATCAATTACCCTATCTGAAACCAGTTTATAACGGGAGTTACACTGAGCTCTAAAGATTTTTAACTCAAGAAAAATTTATTTTTCATTTAATTAAATCCGGGCATGATTAATTATTTTATGTATTTTACCTGATATCAATTAATAAACTATAATCATTATTATCGGTTTCTTCCTCCTCCGGTATGATAGTATTCGTGTTACCATCACATCGATGGTACGGCACACATTTAAAATTGATTTTACTACCTTCGCCACACTTCTCATGTGCTCCAAAACCGCCCATCGTGGGTTTAGTAACTTCTTCAAAATTAGTAGGGACAAAATCAGTTTGTGTCCAAACAAGTCCACACCAAGCCATTAATAAAATTACACGCAACATTCTAAAAGAATATAAGAGATGCAAACTTGTAACTGATTTCACGGTCACCTTGAATCAATTATATAACAACAGGTTACAACACAACAGCCACTGAAATTCAACCGGACTCATTTTAAGATTCTTTACTTACAATTATACCTGGCCTCCCCTCTACTTGGTGCGATTTATCCAAACTAGGTAAATCACTTGGAAAATCCAGATAATTCTGACCTTAAGGATGAACTCACTTTCGAAAAATGTAAACATTGCTATTACAAAATACTTTATTAAAGACGATACAATAAAATTTTAATATTCGTAAACTGAAGTATCCAAGTTTTTGAGTTTTATTTGTTGATCTATCCACTTTCTGAAGAGAGCTAAATTGACGTAAACTCCTGGAGTGTTGTCTTCTCCACATCCAATGCCCCACGCCACGATTCCGGCTTGTTGGTACTTCTCACTTTCACCCGGAATTGGGCAAACTAAAGGACTACCACCGTCACCTTTGCAAGTGTCTTTCTTCGGCTCGCCTCCGGCACAAATAAAACTTTTGTGCAATTCGAAGTGTTTCCCTAACCTTGTCTTCCTTAAAGCTTCCTGACACTTATCTCTCGGAACCACCGGCAAATCAATTTTCTTCAAAATCACCTGATACCTCCCTTCTTTCCCAAATACGTCCTTCCCCCAACCACTCGCATAACACCTCGAATGGTCAACATTCACCCCTTGAGGAGGCAAGCAAACAACATTGACATTATCGGCGATATCAACCGGAGTTTTCAGAAACAACAAAGCGACGTCATTGTACAAAGCCCCAGCGTAAAACTCCGGGTGAATCACGACAGACTCGACCTCCCTGTCTTGATGGGGGTAGAGTTCTTTTTTCGTTTGAGTATCCCATTCTCCAGCCCGGATTTTAAAAACTTTTTTTCCGGTGACGCAATGTGCGGCGGTTACAACCACCTGGGTGTGTATAAGCGCACCTCCACATTGATAAACGTTGAGTTTTTGAGGATTGCCCTCGATGGTTTCCTCGCGGAGGACTGCAACCATCCAGGGGAATTCCCCATACGAAGCTTCGTTTTCCGTGTTTCCAGTTATCCGGAAGCCGATGCCGTCTGGGTTGTGGTGCCCACAACCGGTTCGTTTTATGGGTGGAGGAGTTGGGGTTATGGGTTTTTCGACTTCGTTGCCTTTGTCGCAGCAAACGTCGATGTAGTTCTCGCAAGGGCCTTCATTGATTCTGGAAATTTTATAAAAATTGTTTTGCAATTATTCAGTTCGATAAACAATAATAATAATTCATTACGTAAGAAGTTATTAATTTTAAATATGCACTTAATTAGTAAAAAATCTTTTGATTCTGTAAAACGAATCAAGGTTTTGTTTTTTGTGCATAAATTAAAATATTACCTTATGTCAATAATTCCTTCTCCGTTCGTATTGACTGAACCATTGCTACAGAGATAATAAGGAACGCAGGTACAAGAACCCGTTCCAGGAATTCCTCCAGAACCACCACTTGTGTCGGGTTGCAAATTTGGAGTTCTGCTTGTTACAGGTTTATTTTCAGGAGTACTATTTTCATTAGTTCCGTACAAGTCTTTAATTAACTCATCTTTAGTTTTTCCTTGAGCACTGGTATAAGAAAAAATTACAATCAAAAGAATGAGTGATCTGTTATAAAACATTCTAATTCTTCTTCCTGAAAAAAATATTTACCTTTTTAATTTGTATTTCACATTAGTTCAGAGCTATTTTTATTTATCAAATTCTTAATAAAACCATTCAAATGTCATAAAGTCAAATCAAAGACGATAAAGAATTGTGATCAGATCGAAGAACGTAAACAAATTTAGAATACATTAAACGTTGTTTATATTTTTTTCTAATGATATATTGTCCTGAAGAACTCACCTGTCGTTGGAACAAGAGATGACCACACGAAATAATCTGTACAACCAACACTGTCAGGTTTTACCCGGAGCACCTTGAACCAAGTGGATTTATCGTGACGTCAGCTGGAAACTACACAAGCAGCGCGATTCGTACATCCGAAGCAAATGAGTGTCTGATTAAACAGTAGCAATTTATGATCAGTTAATACGAATGGAAGGGATTAGTTAATAAGAGGAGTTTTTAGTGCCTGAAAGTGGGCGATAATTTTTTTTTTAATTTTTGGAACGAAAATAATTGTTTTTGGTGTAGAGGCTTTCAAAAATAGTATGTATAGTAAAAAAAAACGAAAAAAATGTCTCACCGTGACAATGTTTGCACATTGCCGTGACCAGGATTCGAACCTGGGTTACTACGGCCACAACGTAGGGTCCTAACCACTAGACGATCACGGCTATCGAGACTTGATTTTAATGAGCGCAAGCTCAGTTTATCCATCATCGAAAGCTGATTTAACATACTTTTTTCTATAATACTAATTTATATGAAACACTTTGATTACTTTCTATTTTTATATAAATTATACACAAATCTTAACGCAGATGAAATATTATTTTAACTAAAATAGTTGTATCCGTCTACTTTTTTTGTAAGATATAAAGTTTATTAATTATAGCACATTACAAGCGAGGTGGTAAATATGGCATTACCCCGAGTGCTTATGTATACGATCGAGAGGCGCTAGCCTCGAGATCGGATAAAGCACAAGGGGTAATGCCATTACCACCGAGGTTTGTAAGCTATTTTATTCAGAATCACATTATTTTCAGTCAAAAATTTGAGTAAAATAAAATTCTAACAAAGTTAAGGTCCAAACGTGGTAGGCCATCCAAATGACGTTTGATTTTTGACATTTCAGAAATGTCAAAGAAAATATTGAAATAAAATGTGTAAATCTAATTTAAAGTCGTCGAAATGGAGCAATATACTCCCCCCAGAATTAAGAGAAACTGCTACAAAAGCAATTGAATACTAATTTAGCGAAATATTATGCGTAACTTGACAATTTAAAAGAACAAATTTCGGGTATTTTCGTAATTTTAACGTTGGCAATCCTGCATATTACCACCAAGAGGAGTAACATTTATTACTCTTCATGAGAAATAATGACATGTTTCCCAACCTTAAAAAGGTTAGTAATCGGCATATTACATTAGTGATTGTGAATAAAAATATATACTCATACGTAAAATTTTATAATACATAAATCAATAACAAAACTAAAATCTAAAATTATTTCATATACGACTGCAAAAATCGAATAACATGTCACAAAGTAATGTTACCAAATTCTTTAGAGTTTGTCCTTGTTTCAAATTTTTAAAAACTCATATGGGTTTTTACACTGATTACTAAATACAGACTATTACAAATGTCACTTTTGTGCACTTTCTCTGCATGTTCTACGTAAACTCAGTTTCTCCTTAAAAAGAAAATCTTATTTTAAATGCAATTTTTTCTTTCAAAAAAAAAATATGTTTAACTACTAATAGGTATCTACAAAATAAAAAATTAATTAATTAATAATTAATTAATTTCTACATAAAAAAAATAAAAAATATTTTGTACATTTTGTTATAAAATCATTGACTTGATAACAACTTCATTTTAAAACAGACTATAGGAAACCAGGAAAGAATAAAACAAGACCAATTTATAGTTTATAGTTTAGTTTTTGAACTTGTTTTAATCGTCGGTGTAAATTCCTGGCTGTTTTTCAGATTTATGGGTTTTACCGATAAAATTTTCAACATTTGGCAAACAGATTGAGTTCACACTATTTGCAAAACTGTACTATTTTTCTAATATTAGCAAAGCAATCATTGTGTAAACTTTACAAATAATAGGTATTCGGGGTGTTTGCATGATTATACACATTTCGTTCGTTCTTAGATCCATCACCAACGTCCCGGAAAATTCCTCGACTATTAATTTTCTATAATTTTTAATGATACTCCCTTGCTTTTACAAAAAAATCCAAACATCTTCACTTAATTCCCCAGGCCTAGTTGTCGTCGAATCAGTTTTAGGTGTTAAAACTCAAACATTTATTAAAGATTTAGAACCATAGCTTTTTTTTATAAACAGGTTCTTTCAAAAAGATATCAGTCAGTTGGTGGTGCTCCTGATTCTGTTGGCCACAATAGGTGATCATTTAATTTAAATCAGAACAAGTTAAATTATCCGGTAAATTATTAGAAATAGTAATTGAAGGTTTTGATCATTTATTTAAATATTTGACTCACCCAGATCCGGCAAGAAACGTAAAACGACTTGTTTCAGAGGATTGGTAATAAGCTTTGCATGTGGAATTTTGAAATAAAATTCAAGAATGCTGTCATTTTAAATTAGGACTAAATCCTTGTCGAGGTATTTAAATAGGAAAAAGTTAAAAGAATTAAGGAAAACAAACGTCTAGTATGCATTGTAAAGTGCATTAAAATAACATAAAGATTCTGACTAATAATATCAGTAATTACAGGGTCAGTAAGTCAGTTTGTTATTAAACAAATGCATTGATAAATAATTCCGTATCCTTTATTTCTTTCTCAAAAGATGTAAACATTAAAATACCTAATATTACCTACCACAAAACTTGTCTGAGTATAATTATGAAATACTCCTAAAATCTTAAATAGTGTTACGTAGTATTTAATTTAATTATAAGTACATAGTGGATAATGGAATGGGATCGTATCTTTTCTTTATGAAATATTCTTTTTTTACCTACAATCCTACAAAATTTAATGTAGGCAACTTCTGAGCAGATAGACATTACAAGTTGCTTAAAAGTTATCTGAAAGGATTTACATTTTACAGTTCCACTGTGAACTAATTCACTTGATTCCATCCAATCCAATATCTATTTCAATTATTTGTCCCACAACGCGCAGGCTTAGTAAATTGCAAAACATGAACATGCGTTAGTCTAGATTTGTTGCTATTATGTTTAACAAACACCTGTTTATTACGTGATACCGCACCTAGAGAAAACTACCGTGAAAACATTGTTTCCACTTGATAATCAGTGTTGTTTTTAATTATTTTAACAATGGAATTAAGTGACTCAAGGTGAGATTCAGGACTGATATCTATTTTTAATATTTAAGCGCCTCGTGTTCTGCGATCCATGGTTTAGTTTAGTTTTTTTAATAATAATTAATTGTGAGATTTGAGTCATTCGACGACATGCGAAAATGATTTTTTGTGTTTACAAACTTAGAACATTTATTTATTGTTCTTTTCTATTTTTCTTTAATGAATTACAACGGGTAAAAATAAGTCACAAAACATTATCGTATGCAAAAAAAAATTTGATTTCCGTCGGTAACACAAAATTAAAGTAATTACATATTTATAGGATGGTTTAATGTTACAGAGATTAATAGTGCAGAGTTGCACAATTCAGAGAATTTTTTTTGCGACTTTGCTTTTCAGAAAAACTACATTTTCAATTTTACTTAAAGTCTCATTAAAACTATGCAAATTAGGTATTTGGAAATACAAAATTATTGCAAAAATTTACCACAAAACAATTGTCTATGTATCTATTAGTGTAAACTGTTCATTATAATAAGTAATTTTTTTTTATAAAAAAAACATTGATTTACAAAAAAACAGGTGTACATAATTACCTATACCTAAGCTTGAATTTGAAAACATTTCTTTTTTTTTATAGTAACAGTTTAGCAGTGGACGATTCGCTGTTTAACGAAGTGGAAGACATAATGTGTGACCAAAGAATAATTTCCGGAGAAGTTAGTGTTATGGGTTTGGAAAATAAGACATCTTATATTATTATATCAGCAGCGTAAGTAGGATAAAATAATTATTTAATGGTATTATACTTCAAAATTATCGATAATAATATGATTACTCTGTGTTTGTATTTTTTATTATGGCTATAATTATCGGCTTTCTGCTCTAATAACAAAGTTCGTTGCAAATATTTAAAAACAATTAGGTAATGAGTAGCAGTCACATGTTACTTTTGGCATAGGAAAAAATAATTGAATCACAGTCAGTTTAGTTAAAAAAAAATTCAGGCTTTATTTATTGATTTATTAACTAGGTACCTAAATTAATATAGTGACCAGTAAAGCCTCAAAATAAAACGAATGAAAATAAATTTCTTGACGCAAAGCAAGACTGTCACGCAATATTTTATTTTTAGTGACGACTCATTGAAAGTATTTACTTTACTGCAGTGAAAAATTTTCGAAACCATATTTTTGCGTAAAACGCTTCGCTTTTACTAGTTTTAATAAAGGCCACGTGTTCGTTGATTTGCGATAATAAATTTGCATGTGGAATATTATCCGTAAATATGTAGGTTTGAGTAAACTATACCTAGTGGTGTCATTAAAAGGCAGACAATAGCACGGTGCTTGATACATAGAAGTAATAAATTGAAACGTCCTTGTCACAATTATCATTTATAATATATCGCAATGTGAATCAGTTCAGAATGGACGATTTAAACAGATAAAGTACAGCGAACCGGGATGTGACATGCTTGAACTTTTGGTGGTTTCTTCAAGGTGCCAATTTGGAGCGTGATAATATGATACCAAAGGAAATGCTCATTAGGTGAGTGGGAACATTGTGCAAATTGTGGATTAGAAAATTAATACTCAAGATTGAACATGGCACCAAAATTCAAGAGATTGTTATTTATTTTATAAAAATTATTTATAGATGCGGCCTTGAATCAATAATGATTTTTCCGAAGCCTTATTACATGACACGTGAAAGCTGAAACATTAATAGAAGAACAGATCTGACAAGAAATAGAAATATAAGCATAATTGTGTTAATTTCTCTTGTTATTTTTTTCATTTTTTAAGCTTTACCAATCAATATTTCACTGATAACAGTTAGTTAATTTATAACCTTGCTACTAGTAATTTAGTAAACAGGGAGACTAAATAATTAATAAGAAAAACGTTCAAGGAGTATTGATTAAACAGTGATCATTTTTACTGTCGTTCCAAGTGTTCGTACGCACGCTTTTAGATCTATACTACAATATTAATAACAAAGCAATGTCAAGGCAAAGGACAAGCTTCTGTAATAGATAAAAATGATTCAAATGTAGATATTTTGAATGAGTGTGTAACAGTCGTACATGTTTTGAAAGCGGACCAATTGTATCAATTACCAAGTTGCTAATTCTGTAAATACAAACACAATAGGGCCAATTTGGTGATTTTAAAACCATTAAAATAGAAAATGTTATTGTGGAAAAATATTTTTTTATATACATTGTATCTGTAATATTTGTATGTTTTTTTTTTTTTAATAATTATTAAAAGAGTAAAGGGACCAAAACCTATAAAAGCTACAAATAACAGAGTTACAATTTAGGATACCGCTTCCTTGTTTCCTCTTCTAATAGACTGTAGCAAAAAACTTGGAAAATTATTTTTTCAACAGAAATAAATAGAGTCAAAGTGCAAAGTTTAGTCTCATAACTTCGAAATTTTTATAGATAGAATTTTTTAAATATTTTTTTCCTGGTATCATGGCATTTTTCTCCGGGGTACGAGTTCTAGCGCACCTGTATTTACCTATACAGGGTAGGTAAGAATTCGCGCTCTAGAGAAAAATGCCAAGTAAGATAAGATACCAGGAACATGGAATAAACATTAAAAAAATTCAATCTATAAGAATTTCGAAATTATGGGGGTTTAAATTTTGCTCAGTTCCTTTTTATTTCTGTTGAAAAAATAATTTTACATTTTTTTGCTACAGGCTATTAGAAGAGGAAACAAAGAAGTTGTATCCTGAATTGTAACTATGTTTCACGTTATTTGTGGCTTTTATTTATTTATTACTTGTTATTTTATTTTTTACATTTTTTCCATCTCTCTGATTCTGTAACACCGGTGTAGGAGTGATATTTAGACACTTGTTTAGTAATGTTTTTACAATTGTTATTATGTATTTATTTAGACGCCTACGAGTAGCTGTGGCTGTCTTCGCCCGCACTGTCATGCCAGCAGTCCTAAAAATCTACTACTTGTACCTAAGAAACCAACAAATCGTAGTAGACAAAGTCCGACACCGCCTTCTTCCAACACTAGTAGCCTTCCTAGCCAACAGTCTCTCAAGTTCTTTAGCATCAGTCCAGAAACGCATCACTTTCCCGCTCAACCGTCGTGCCATCAAAGACATACAAAAAGACCTCAATCCAGTTAACGAAGACGTCACCAACACCATCCCCGAAGAAAGCGTTGAATGTCAAGTCCTATTCGCCCCAAAAGAAGAAATCCTAGCCGATGTTATCTTCATCCACGGTCTTCATGGAGGCATCGATAAGACATGGAAGCAAGGCCAATGGCGACACGACGGTCACAAACTCAAAGACCAATCACCCGTCCGGAGTCAATCAACGGGGAATTTATACGTTCCACCCAGAAAACATTCTTTGAAACGTACTTTCAGTGATATTTACGCCAACAGGCCGCAGGTGAAGATTGCGAGGAAGGAAAATGAGGTATGCGTGACGCGCGAAGAGGAATGGGAAGTTATCGAAGACGAGGATGTGGGTGACGATGGGTGTTATTCGAACTGTTGGCCGCAGGACTGGTTGCCGAAGGATTGTCCAGGAGTGAGGGTGATTGCTTTGAATTATACCACGGATGTGTTGTGGTGTCCAGTTTGGAAGAAAAAGAGACTAAGGTGAGTTTTAAAACGCAACTGATTGAATTGCCATTAATTCGATCTTAATGAAAAAATCGACAAATAAAAGAATTCAGCCTTCACCCAAAATTGCGCAGCATGTAAATTCATTAACTAAAATGCTAATTTCACGCTGGGTGAATGTGCATACGTCGAGTATGCGGGTTGTAAACATATGTCTCCATGAATTTTTTTTATTCAAGATCTTGCCAAGGTTGGAAAATACAATACTTCTGTCTTACACCATACACAAAAACTAATGCAACAAGAGTGCGAAAATTGCCAACCATGAAACCATAAAAGGACAAAAAATACATATATCGCAAAAAAATTAAGAATTTATTTCATGTTATTTTGTGGACAATGTGTTGATAATGATCTACTTACCGAACTTTCACTCTTTTGCAATATTACAATTATAATTTGATAGGTGCAAATAAATTACTCTATCGATTTAAGCAATAAAATTAGTGTTAAGAGGCCAAGAAACGGAAAAACACACAAAATGTGTCCTGCAACTATTGTAACCGGAAAATGAGTAGATGTGTGATTAATGGTTTAAAAGGTATGTTCTCGTAAGTAATTATTCCAAATTTTATATTTGGTCAAATGGTTCCAAAGTTATTACAAAAAAAAAAAATTCCATACCCACATTCCAAGGGCTGTAAAATAAAATTCTTATCAGTAAAGACAGAACAGGAGTTATTATTTAAATGAACATCATTTAGGTCATTTTTGAAGTCTAAATATTGGTTCATATTTATGAATAACCCTATATGTATGACGATTATAAGTACATATTTTGATTTTTATAAATAATTGTCTGCCAATATTATTTTTTAAAACTTTCACTTTCAATTTTTTTCTAAAATTCATACTGATAAATGGACGGATTGTGTTTTAGATAAACCAATTTTTTAATGATGAAAGTAACATTTTTGTATGTATTTTATTGAGCTAAAGCCATTAAACCTTCCTGCTTAATGTATTTCTTTTTGATATAAAATTGTAAATACGAGTTTTGCGTACGTCTAAATTGTTAGTTCATTTTAAGTAGTCTAAAATATGTTTCTCATAATTTGTATCTTATTCATTTCGAAATAACTCTATTATTTAGGGGATTTACAATTATTATGGGTTGTTGACCTCGATACAAAGAGGAGACATAACATAATTGCATAATTTCATCAAACTCCCGCTGCAATTATCTACCATACCATATAAATAATTTTATTGCAATTGTTGGAAACAATATTTTTCAATGAGAATAAATATTATTTCAGAATTACACAATTATTGTAGATAATTGACAGGCCGAAGATCAATTAAATAATAGTTACATATGTACTTATTACGACTAGAATACTTGACAGTTTTTGCAATGAGGAATGAATTTCACTTCATAAATGGTTGTAGAAATACGAAAGAGTTTTTCTCTAAATATTTGTTGTCATTGAATAATAAACTTTAATATTACATCATCTATTTATCCTTTGAAATGTATTAAATAATACGGTATTTTGTCTTTTAAATCCTACCATGTCTAAACTAAAATAAGTAAGTAAAATAAAATTAAAATAACGAACTTTGAAATTAATAAAAAAATCACGATAACAAATTATTTTAATAAACATGTCTACAGTACTTTCGGCTAAGTGACTTTAGTGATAACGTTGTAATAAACAAAGTCCATAATTATGCTATTGTCTAGCTACATAAAACGATAAAACTGATAAAAGAAAAATTGAAACACACAAAAAAATCTGAATTGGGTTAGCATAATGACCTGCTATTACCATGACCTTTGTTTTTGACATTCGGGTCAAGAATACACGAGCCAAAAATTTTTCATTAGTTTAAAAAAAATAGATCAAAGAATAGACACTTTGTTATTTATATATTCCAAGGAATTTGTAAAGGCTATTAGGCCAGTCACCTCGAAAATTTATTCAAATTAACTAAAAATATGTGTCTACAGGACTGACATGGTCGAAAGGAGCGACGAAATGATCGAGGAACTTTGCAAATTAGGGGTAGGAAAAAAGCCAGTTATTTGGGTTGGACACTCGAAAGGAGGTCTCTTCATTAAACAAATCATAATGAATGGTAAAGAAACATTTTTTAAAATTCATTTGAAGTAATGTAATTTTAGCATGGGAGCGGCACAGAGAATGTCCCGAAAAATTCGGAATCTTTCAAAATAGCAAAGGGATCATGTTTTATAGCGTGCCCCACAAAGGATCAGTTTTAGCAGATTTCACTTTGCCGCTTCTTAGGCGAAGTGTTGAACTAATAGAAATACAAAGAAGTAAGTTTCCACTCGATCATAAAAGTAGTGTTTAAACATAATTAATATTTTAGACTGTGATTTCGTACTAGATCTGCACAAGCGATTTTTAGAACTATGCAAGCAAGGCCATTTAGAAGCTGACATTTTTAGTTTTATTGAAACTTCGTTTACATTAATGTCGTTTGTTTATTTAAAAATTGTCGCATACGAATCGGCAGGTAAGTTCAGTGTTGGACTTTATTTACATTTTATTGCAAATTTGTTGTTTCAGACCCCGACATTGGGATAAAATGTGACGTGCCTTTAGACCACAGAGAAATATGCAAACCCGCAGGCCGGGACTGTTTCCTTTATTTGGAATTAATCAAATTAATAAAAAAACACAGTTTAAGTGAAATAAATGAAAACTTTTAGGTCAATTACGTAAACAAATGTGATGCTACTCTAAGTATTTTAGATAAATATGTAATTAGGTACATTTAATTTTTAATTCTCAGGTTTTCGCCTATTTATCATTCCTGGTTGTCAGTATTCTTTCTTGTATTCCTTTGTGTTCATATTATTTTAAATCTCAACAATTTGTGCTGCTACCAAAGTTTTAGTTAATTGATACTTTACGTAGACTTACAAAAGAAGCAAATCTTTTAAAGTGTCATAAGCAATAGTTAGTATTTGAATCAGAAAATATACAAATTATTGATACATATTCAATCAATTTATTTCAATAAACGATCATTACTCAAATATATACAGTAATTGATTGGTTCATTATAGTCGCATTTAAATACTTTTACCTTATTTACTATGAAACTACATCGCAAGCTTGCTCTAAAACCGCCCCACTGTACGCCAGATCCCAATAATGTTCAACTTTATGCTTTTTAAAGTGCTCACGAGCCAACCTTTCAGTTGGACAAATCTTAAATTTAACCTCTCCAAAATTTCGCTGTTTGCTAGTCCCTTCCCAAACCAAAACACATTTATTGGGGACTTCATTCCCGTCCGGATCCTTGACAATATCCTCCTCCCATTTGATTCTATGTAACATTAATCTGAAACAACACAAGTTATTCTTTGAAACGTTGCTTAACTCCATTACCACCTTTTATACTTCTTCTGCTGTTTAGGCCCTCCTTCGACCACCACAACACAACAGTCGGGATACAAAACCACACAACCAGTCATAAACAACTGTTTTGCGTTGGTCTCAACTTTAAATTTTTTTGATGGCAATTCGTGCAGATCTCTGATTCTGTAAATTGCAACGAACACTCCCAACGAGGTGTCTTCTTTAATTTTTTTGATTTTCTTGTCACGTTTCTGCTCGCTGGTTAATTTCCTCGCAGCGTTGGCGTCTTCATGGGCTTTTTGTCTTTTAGCCATTTGTTCTCTGACGTGAGCTTCGATTTTAGTAGGGTCTTGAACTGCTTCAGTTCCTAAAGCTCGCATCAAGTTTGAAATTCGCAGTTTGGGTTCAGGTGGTGGTTCTAAACCCAAACGGATTTTTTCTTGCTCTTCTTTCCACATCTCGCGGCGGTTTTGACGGCGAAGCTTTTTGCGTTCTTTTTTTGTTAGGAATACTGGCATATAAACCGGCTTAATGGGGTCAGCTGTAAAAAGAAATAAATGAAAATAATAACAGTTTTTCATGACGAAAAAACAATTCTTACTTGGACACCTCAGCTGCGTTGGATGCTCAACCAAAGTATTAATAACAGATTCCTTTATTGCGATTTTTCCATTGAGCATTAAATCTAAATTATCTATCAAAATAACGGAGTCCCACCATTCCATTTGCGGGATTTCCTCAATGACTCCTTCAGATTTCGCGATGAGAGCCAATTTAGTTGCCGATGAAATACCGGTCTTTTTCGCAATTTGGGAGATTTCATTTTGTAGTTTTTCTAATTGGGCCTAGGGAAAAAATGGTTCAATTTTTATCAAAACTAAACATATTCCTGGCTTACTTTCATACGAAGACGTTCCGCCTGTTGTAAAAATTTGCCTGGTTCGTGGAATCTAAGCTGTCTTTTGTTTCTAATTGGTGGTTTTACTCCTATTCTCCCATCATAAAATCTCGTTTCATTACTGTCGTCCGTTTTATCACTCAACTGAGTTCTGAACTGTTCTCGTTTTTGTGCTCTAATGTTGGCTTTAAGAGTAGGAACAACATGAGTCAATTGTACCGCTTTTCCTGTCTTGTCGATGGTCCTCCCCTCGTCGTCAAGAATTAAAGGCGTAGGCTTATTGGGGACCACTGGTATTTGTATAGCGTTTGTTAGAATCCCACTGGACAATTTGCTCTTAATCTGGGCTTGCAGTTGTGCTATTTTGCGGGCTTTATCAGCATCGCCTCTGTTTAGAAGACCCATTGGTATACCGTAAATGCTGGCTTGGGGTATATTGATATTAGTGACGCTATTCTTCGAAAGTGCCCCATCAAGGGCCCTTTTTCGTTCTTCGATTTGTTTCTGCGCGCTTTCCATGATTTCGCTTGACTTTGATTTGTTTCTTTCAGAGTCGTGTCTACTGTCTCTATCATCGTAGCGCGATTTAGACCGCCTTGAGTCTCTTTCTCTGGAATCATCACGCGATCGTTTTTTCGACCGATGCAAAGCATGATAGTCTTCAACTAAATCAAATATTTTTTCAGCTAGTCTTGTTGCCTTTTTGCTATCAACATAAGACGAAAGTTTGTCAGTAGTTTTGCGTCTATCATACCCTGAATTTAAACAATGAACTGCGGTACTGACCAGAGAGCTATCACTGCTTCCGAGTAATTTGTAAACGGCTTTGTCTATAGAGGGTTTCAAGTCCTCCACTTCTCGCCGAGAAAGATACGACATTTTAAGTTTTAACAAATTATGTGGCTTACGATTTTCAACGTTTGCACACAAAACTTTGAGGTTAGGATTCAAAAACAGGCTAAAATACCATAACAATAGCTTAGAAATACCCTAAATTCGTTGTCAAAAAATGACAGATGGTAGTAAATGTCAATTTAAGGTTATGGACATGTGACAGAAGTAAGCTGTAAATAAATATTTACAAATCACAAATTTGGATTCAAATAATTCACAATGGGAATTGAAGTCGATGTTGAGTTTTGGTGAATATTGTTATTTTATTGGAGTAGTTTGCATTTTTATATTTCAGTGGGACTTGTGGATATTTTAAAAAGTTTGAAGAGTTAGCGCAACATATTAAAGCTAAATATCCTAATATTGAGTTGAATGGACATGAAGGCAGAAGAGCAACATTTGAAGTTAAAGTAAATGGGACTTTGGTTCATTCTAAATTAACTACTCTTGCTTATCCTGATTATGAAGATCTTTCTGCAATTATAGATGAAGTGTCTCAAGGAAAAGAACCAAGAACTTGTAAACAGCAACCTATCACCAGTTGTATAATAGCTTAATAGAATATTGGTTTTATTAGTCAGCCAATGAGATGTTTGTTTAGTATTATTTACATCTATTAAGATTGTAATTTAAAAAATGTTAGGCAACTTCTATTAAATGGATGGTGATGTTAGGTAATACCGAAATTCCCTACTTGAGTACAAAAGAGAAACGTTAAAATACTTAAAATAAACACTTCTTTCTTGGTTACTTACTTTTTTTAGTGCGTGTTTATATAAAATATTTTTATGTGAAACCAAGGAACCGCGCTATATTTTGCTTTCTCACCTAAACTTTAGAATAGTTCTACTGTTTGGTCAAGCAGGAAGTGGTAAACAACTGTATAGCTGTAATAAAATTACTACTATATGATATAGATATATGTTTTTAAGTACAGAATCAATAAATTTTAGAATTATTAAAATGGGTCATATTTAAATGAATTTTTGTCAAAAAAATTGTTATAATAAAAATTATTTGATGCATCCTAATTTTATTTTAATAAAATAAAAACCGTTAGATACAAAATAATTTTTAGGTGTAAAATCCATTAATTCCATAGTTATTAAAATTTCAAGGATTCTACCCTGTTTTTAATGTTGTACATTAAAAAGTTTAAATTTTCAGGACAAATCAAATATTTTAAAGCAATGCGGCCTGTTTGTATTAAAAATAACTTACTAAATGAAAAATACAGTGTACCAGAAAAAGGCTAGTATGCTCTACATACCAAAGTTACTCGTATTTCACTACCTGTTAATAAATTGGGTTTGTTTCTTTTAGATTTAAACTTTAGAAAAGATATGCTTGATAAATTGATAATGCAACAAACAAATGTTAGTGTGAAAAACCAACAGAAAAAATCTAAAACTATAAAGTAACGAATTCTCATGCATCATCATGATGTGAGAGAGAATGCTTAAATCAGAAGAAAAAGTGTGTTGTACCTACAGTATATAAAGTATTGAGAAAATTATTTTATTATTATTGTTTACGACAAGAATTTGTTCTGAACAGACTCATATGATTTTGTTCTGTAACTCTTTATTACAACTAATATTTTTGTCTAGAATTCGTTTAATTACGATTAATTTTAATAATTATGTAAACTATATTGATTATGGACTTAAAAATCATTGTGTATCAAACCGGTTTCCCTTTCTTCTTTTCCGAATGGCACGTCCCGTAAAGTGGAATGTGCATCAAATAATTTTTATTATAACAATTTTTTTGTAATGAATTAATTGATTTGTAGTTAAAAATCAAACTGTTCTGAACGGGCCCATGTAGTAGTAATTTCATTGCCATAAGGTAGTTTTCCACTTTTTGAACTATTCCCAAGTTTACGTGAAGGAACCAAAATATAGCAGTCAAACAAGTACACAGTGAGAATGAAAATAAGTATGTATCCATACTTACCTATTTTATATTTAGCTACAACACAAACACAATGTTTATACTCTTCTATAAATCTGCTTTTATGTTGGGCAGTTGCAATAGGAAAATCTGTCTGTATTGCAATAAAACTCGTTGAAAATATCTTGGTCAGAGTTTTTAGTTTTATTGTTTCTTACAAATAATGACATTTTCAGTGTGACTATACAAAAGTGTTAACGAACTTTTAATTCATTCAAACAATAGTAAAATAATTTTCTACTTAATATTGTTTGTTTTTAACTGGTGGAATAACTAAAAACAATTCAATTTTGTACACAGCACCCAGAAATGTGATAGCAACTTTTACACAAAGTGTCACAACATGGCACTTTTGAAAAGCCAAACTCCAAAGTTGTGTAATATAAGATTCGATTTAACAGAAAGAACTAATAAAACTATTAAATTAAGAGAAAAACAGATTGATCAAATTAAAAAATATAAAAAAGAGAAGAAAAAACATTGTGATATCAAATTTTTTCCCACACAGATAGGTGGATTTTTACCTGCTTTAATTCCTGTAGCATTAGCTGTAGCCAAAGCATTGGGATTAAGTGCAGTTGGTTATGCAGGTACTAAATTAGCACAAAAAGCCTTTGGAGATGGTATAAAAAAGACAAAGAAGTCGAAGACATATGGACAAGGAATAAAATTGATAGGAAAAAGGACTTAAGTAATATAGAAATATTTGATATTATGAAAAATGAGAAGTATTTTCTAGGCGTTTTTGAAATTGTCATGTTATCAAAAAAAATTAGAAAAGATGAATCAGACATAATTAATTTTCAACCCTCTAATTGTTATGGCTCACACAGGGTACGTTACATACACAAACCATATTTAAGAAATATTTTATATTTTGACAGTTTTGGAATCTCTCCACCAGAAAAAATACTTATTAAGTAGAGTAAAAAATATTGCGTGGAATAGCACACAATTGCAAATAAATTCTTCTGTTCTGTTTCTTTTCATTTCTTAGAATAAAATTTCTATCCGTTGGAACAATAAAAAAATGTTAAGCAATTAAAAATAAACAACCAAAAATGAACAGATTTTCAGCGGTTCCGTTTGGGACCTCTTGCATTGATGGTTTTCTTGTTATTTAGTAGTCTAATATGTAACTTTTTAATTCAGATTTTTATGCCTAGTTTTCTTAGTCGTTTTCATATTTTCTATGCATTTTTTTTCAACAAAAACCACAGTTTCAGTTGTTACGTCTGGCTCACATTTTTTAAGAAATCATGACAAAAAAAGATAGTTTTCCTATTTTTTTTGGCATAAACATCTGGCTCATATTTTTAAAAAGGCCATAAAAATAGGGTAGTTTCCATAAAAAAAATGCTGTTTCAATAGACAAAATGGGCTTAAAAACAGGTCATTTTCTCAATTTTTTGTGTTTTTGAACAGACCACAATGGGCTGTTTTTCAAACTCAACAAACTTCAACTTGAACATCAACTCATTTTTCTAAAAAATTGATGTTTTTGGAAAATCTGAGTTAGAAGTTAGGAATAAAAAGTCAAATTCAACGTTGTTTTTGATGTTTTGGTAGAAATATCGGTTTTTGTTGAAAAAAAAAAAAATGCATAGACAATAAGAAAATGACTTACGAAAACTAGACATAATAATCTGAATTATAAAGTTACACATTTTAGACTACTCACATTTCTGGGCGCTCTGTATACATATTGTCAACTAAATTAAAATTGAATGGTTTTCAAACCTCACTTGTAGCGTTGTTTTTTTGTAGGATTTGTAGTATTTTCATAACAATTCGGTAAATAAATAAAACTGACAATATTTGTAAGTGTTGTATTGTGAGGTTGCAGTAGGAGCTGTACTGGGTACAGTCTCTTTACACATGAGATTACAAATTGAAAAAATGGAAATAAACCAAACAACCGGAACAAGGAAAGACACACACAACTACTGACAAAAGAGTTGTAAAAATACACTTACACAGCTGGAAATGAGACTTAGTAAAAAATACTACAGTCCCAAATTTTAATTTTTTAATTACTTGTTACAATTAAAACTCTCATTCTGACACCGATACAGAAATGCAGGCATTCGTTTAAAAGAATTGTTTTCTTAAAATCTTCACTCACTCAGACGCTCCTATAAAATACATCACATTTGGATGTAAATTACATATTCTCAATGGACATAATATTTATAAGTATGTTATACAATTTAAATTTATCTTCACTATACAAAATTGATCCTAATAAACGAGATCGCCTCCGATCAAGAGTGCCACTCGTAAAAGTACGCTTCTAAATGAAATTCGGACAGTTCGACAGACTGTAAGATTCGGTGATTGAATAAAAAAATCGCTAGGAACTTAACCCTACAGCTAAATATAGGAAATGTGATTCAACCAATAAATAAAAACTCCATCACCTGATCTTACAGTGGTCTCAACTGTCGGAATTTGACTTGAGGCGTCCATATTTAAATATCTGTGTTACTCAGAAGACAAACAAGACAGTGTGATGTTTTATATCTACTGTACAAATGAGCTGCATCATTCGAGAACCACATTCACTCTGTAGAGGTACCTATGGTGAGTGGTTCCAAAAGGAACCATTTTAAGATTGCACAATTTCGGGTGCAATAACCTTATCCAGCTTGTGTTGTCAGCACGTAGCACACCTCACCACCTTCAGTGCTGCCACCACAACCCCGACAACGCATTATACAAGTCTCCTCGCGCTACTCGATCCACTCTTTATTATTAAAACGCAGTTTTCATCTCACTCCCAATAAAATCTTGCACTTAAGTAATTCTTTTTACTTTGTAAAACTTGCATATAAAATTAAATAAAAAATGAAAAACAACTTGTCACTGGCTAGTATCGTGTGATCGCACTTTTCAACAGGAAATACTGACTCGGAGAGATTCTACATGTTCGTTACGATTGAACTATCATCACTGGCTCACAGCGGGCGATTTTTTATCAGAGTCCTGATTCGACGGGGTGTTGCCCTGCGACGGACCCACACCAGGCCCCCGATCGCCCACGCCCCCGCCCCATGAGTTCGAGCCCGGCATCGGCGAGTCCGCGTGAAAACCGTGGTTGTCATGGTCTAAGGAGTTGGCCGCGTCATACTGGGTGTTTTCCAGACGCGTTATCAATCTCTCGTCCTCATCCCCGAATTCGCCACCCATCAGCGATGGCTCGCCCACCACCATCACATCCTAAAACAAAACACAACTTGAGACAAAAATTCAAACTGATTGTTAAGTTTTCAATCCTCCCAACGAAATACTAAAAACAAGTGTTATCTCTCGAAAATATTTATGGTTACAGTTCTAACCTTGATATATCTATGAAGATCAAGGAAATAAACATTATTATCAATTAAATTAATGGAAACTTTCTTATCAATCACAGAAAAAATACTGACCTGTGATGCTAAAGAAAAATTTGGTCCTGGTGACCTCTTCTTGTTAGGTGTTGGGGTTGCATTGTTGGGTGCCCCTCCTGAGTTCGATCCTTTCCGTTTTCTTCGTTTATTAGCGGGCCGTTGTGATTCTTAAAATGACAAAAAATTAGTTACGTATGTTACATTTAAGAATTTTTTATTTATTGTTCAAATACCGTGCGTTTTGTACTTAATTTAGAGCTCATTCATTTGTGCTATACTGTAGACTCCTCTCGTCGTAATTTAACCTCTCGTTCAGTGTAGCAGAAATGAACAATTCTCTAGTGCAATAAAATTGGTACCTCTCTTACCCGGCGGGGCAACCATCCTTTGCCACTTTTGGAATAGTGTCGTTTTTAAACAATCCCTTGGACTCAATGCGTAAGCTTTATGCCTAGACATTAATTCCTGCATGGGTTCTAGTATTACACATAGCTGAAACATCAAAATTTCATTAAGTGATTGGCCAATTATTTACAAATTCTGTGTCATACCCTAAGGTAATTAAGGGTGGAATTCGTGATTCCTTGCCTCGTGATGTTTTTTGATAGTTGATCTAACATGCTGGGATCTTGTTGTGAATGCATTCCTACCACGGATCGAGGAATTAATTCGCGATGCGTTCGCACCGCAAAATGCCACGACTTTATCCTCATCAGGTCATCAAAGGTAAATTCTAGGATTAAACGACCTTCTGTACATACCTGCAATGGAAACTGCTAACGTCATTCATTTGTTCAATTATAGCAAATCAAAAAAGCACAAATAAAGCTAATAAAAGCTGCATGATTTTTTAACTCTCTACATCAATTTTTTTTATTTAAAACAAAATATAGTTTATAAAGTCCAGTTTATATTTCCGAAAACAAATTTTAAGTATTTTCAGTTTTTATAACATCACCAAAGTTCCAAAAAATTTGTTTTTTATTGTCTTACCTTTGTAAATAAGGGTTTACCATGATGCGTAATCATAGTGCATTGATCACAGTCTAGCGTAATACTAGTGTTGTGGAAGGACTCTTTCGGATGCTTCATATTATAGTACAATTCCGTCACTCCACCTTCAAATATACTCCTAAAGTACCTCGGAATTAACGTCCTTCCGATTGCTACAATCAACCAATTAAAATAGGGTTAAAAGCATTGTTTTGTGGACGCACTGTATCGTTTAGGTCCGTCTTCCAGACAAAAAGCTAGCGTTAATGAGGCGTCGTCTTCAAAAAACTCCGTCGCAAACGCGTCCCACCAAAGATTATCACTTTCCTACAAAACATCAATTATTAGTAAGAAACTTAGATTTGGATCGGCGTAACATTACATTTAAACTAACCTCCGTCCTTTGCTGTAGCCTCTTGTTGAGTTCGTATATTCGGTAGTCGGGTTGGCCGAAATATGGTGTATGTCGCCTTGGTACGGGCAGAGATCTGAAATGGGTTTATCCAATTAAAAAACAATCCATTACTCCAAAATTATATAAAAGTCGATAGCAATTAATGTTTCTATGTGATACACACTACCATAATTTCGTCGGTAAGTACGAAATTTGATTTATTGCCATGAATTATAACAAACAAATAATAAATTTAGAGAAATTATAGCATTTATGCAAATAAATTTGGATGGTATTTCAATTATGTCTAATTTATGAGTGAATGATACTGTGTGGATTTAATGGACACTAAATTTAATGAAATTGTTCAACAACTCTATTTATTAACAATATTTTATATGTTTACGACATGCTTTTATCACTAATTACTGATATTTGTTCATAAAAATTAATTTTACAGAAATAAAAATTAGTAATAAGCCATCTCACACTATCTAGTTTTCTAGTTGAATAGATCAAGTGAAATGTATCGTCTGAAAGCTACAAAGCGCAAAAAAATCTAATAAAATTTAACATGAAATATGAATAAACAGTTTTGTCGTTTTTCCTGTTCACATATTTCCTCACTTCGGGTGAAGATTTTTATATATTTGAATCGATTACTTTAAAATTACAAATTGCGATCCATAAAATTAAATTTTTACTGTCGTAATTGTACATTTTTATTGTCTAGATTGTGCCATAAATAAAAAAATATGATCAATTTATTGCTTTTACTAAACTTCACTTCACATTCTAAATAATAATTACGTTGCATTAAAATAAATCAGGTATGACATTAAAAAAATATACACATGGGGAGTCTCTGTTGCCAATAATTTTAAAACTTTATTGTTTGTCTTCAACAGTAGGTGTAGAGGCGAATAAAACTACAATTTGGACTCCAATAAAGCATTTACATAAAACTAAAATAAATAACAATATTGTACAATAAAGTGTGTAAATTATCACCTGATAAAAGTACAATTTGTTTGATCTCCGTCGATAAAAGAACCATTTATTAAAGAATAATTTCTTTAATCTTTAAACTACAGTAATTAAAAAATAATAAAGATAAGATCATATTTTTTGTTCCGTAACATAAAAAAAGATAATTTCCGCAATTGTTAAAAATCACATCAACTGTTTTATTGGATGGTTTTAATGGGTTAAATAAATGTTATTTTAACATCCTCAAATACTCAAATGGCCCAAAAAACAAGTTGAAAAAATTATTTTGAAAGTGGTTGAAACTGGCAGTTACCCATTTTTTCAAATTGAAATGCTTATTTGTCGTCAATTCCCTAAATCATTTTAATAACAAATTCTTTGAATTAATTGACATAGGATTGTTAAAAATATTTTTTTTTATAATTGTTTTTTAAACTATTTCTTTACAATAATTTAAGAATAATTCAATGGTACATTAAGGGCAGTAAAATTCCTGTCACCTCTCCAAATAAAGTAACTCTACTAAAATTTAGCAAAATCTATTTACGCTGTTCTCATCAATACCGAAAGAAACACCACTTTCCCTTGACCTAATCCATTCCCGTTAATCGTCGACTTTTAATCACACGCTACGAGAATTACATTATATAGCCGTTTAAAGACTTAATAAACGTTTTATTATCAGCGTTCCTCGTAAAAACTCAATGAATTAAGACGACAGCGTCTCTCTTGAATACTAAACCGTCTCGTCGTCCAGCTTTACCGTAAATATAAACGACGTGTGTCGATTAGAATGCGAAACGCAATGCACCGGAGCTAAAGCTTGATCTATCCGAGTGTGTGGATTGTTACGATTGTTGTTGCAATCAATCTGTCAAGTACAAGTAGCACAAGCCCCGCGAAACGTGTGTGCAGTTTGTAATCCTGCGATGACGCAGGACGCGCGCCGATACCATCGCCAACGGATGACCACACACAGACGGAGAGAATTTGCCCCACTTTACTACACACACACAGCCAGGACCTGTTGATCCTTGCTTTGCTCTCCTCGACGGCAACGTCCGTCCGACGCTCCAGCACGATCCTTGTGCAGTATCATTAGTATTCGTGGCGGAACTTCGATCATATCGGTTTTTAATGGGAAAAGTTCCGGTTGTGGGACGTAGGACTGCGAGACGGACGCTGATTGCATTGCGGGACGTTTGGCTAAATGTTTATTAATAAACGGGAGCAGGTGAAACAGAGGCAAAAAGACTAAAAAGCAGCCATGAAAATTTGTATTCCCTGCTTTGAAATCGCAACCATTCAGAAAAAAACATTGTAACAATTATTTTTCAACCAATAAACACAAAATATTGAATTTATTATTAAATATTACCCAAAACTTTATTATTATTAATTATTCTATAACTTCTGGTTTCATTACTATTGTTATTATTTATGCACCATTACATCCTGTATTTAATGTTTGTTTCAAAAACACATCTTACATGTGGTAAGGTTTTAAACAATTTTACATTTTGTTTAAAATATGTATGTACAAACTTAGAACTTCTTTCTAGGGACATCGTTTTTCCCAATAAAATTAATGACTGTTTATTGAAAAGCTATCTTAAAACATTCAAGACGGCAATTTTTATATGAGTGATATTTGTGTAATCTCTGTGTCAATTTTAAAACTTGCAATCGGCAATTTCTCTCAACTGAAAAAGTTATTAATAATCACTCAAAACCGTTTTGGTGGTTCCTAGAGAGAATTAAAATGACATGATAAGTGACACACCTCCACCCACCCTTGAATATAATAAAAAAAAATAAAATCTAACGTCTTTTTGAATAATTGGAAAAATGGCTTTACCAAATAGGCTGTTGTATGACATTTTTGAAAAGCGCTTGTTATGGGCTTTCCAAATGTATCGCAAATAGAGTTGTGCCATTTAAAATTTTCAACTTAAAGTGGCTGTGGCTTGAAGGGTGGGTGGAGGAGCGTCACTTACCATGTCATTTTGATTCCCCCTAAAAACCACCAAAACGGTTTTGAGTGATTCTCAATAACTTTTTTAGTTCTAGAGATATTGCCGATTGACATCTTGTATATAAAGAGGCTTATCCTGACTGACCTATCAACTCACAGCCTGAACCGCTAGAGATAAAATTTTGAAATTTTGACAACAGTAGATACTTTTTATAACGTAGGCATCCACTAAAAAATTTTTGGAAATCAACCCCTACGGGGGTTAAGGAGGAGGTGAATATGAAGGTTTAAAGTTATATCCATGAAAATTGGTATTTAGGTTTTCGGTTAAAAAGAAAAAATACGTATTTTAGGATTTTTGGAAATTCCACCCCCAAGGAACAAGGGTAAAAGGTCGTAAAATATCCGAATTCTTTTATTAAGTTAAATCCATGAAAATTGGTATTTGAGCTTTCAGTTGAGAACAAAAATACACGTGTTTCAGGATTTTGGAAAATTTCATCCCCAAAGGCATCAAACAGGGGATGAAAATTTGTATAAATATTTATAAATTCGTTATTCTTGAAGTTAAATTTATGAAAATTGGGATTTAGTCTTTCGGTTAAAAATGAAGAAACAGGTGTTTTAGGATTTTTGAAAATTCCACCTCCAAGGGCGTTAAACAGGGATAACATTTATATTAAAATTTGTCATTTTTAAAGTTAAATCCTTAAAAATTGGTATTTAGGCATTCGGTTAAAAATGAAGAAATACATGTTTCAGAATTTTTGGAAATTCCACCCCCAACGGAGTTGAACAATAGTAAAATTTTGTAAAAGATTCTTTTTTTTTTTAAGTTAATTCCATGAATATGAAATATTGGTATTTGGACTTTCAGTTAAAAACCAAAAAATTACGTGTTTCAAGATTTTAGAAAATTCCATTTCCAAAGGGGTTAAACAAGGGATGAAAATTTGTATCAAAATTTGTCATTGTTAAGTAATAGGTATGCATAAAAATTCGTCCACTTTGAAAAAATTGTTATTGGAGCTTTCTATTAAAAATTAAAAAAAACATGTTGTAGAATTCCTGAAAATACCACCCCCAAGAAGATTAAACAGGGGATGACAGTTTGTATTAAAAGTTGTCATTTTTGAAGTTATATCCCTTCAAGTCAACAACAGATGTTTATACTGTGTTGTGGTTTATCTTTGCTGATATTGTTGTAAAAAATTATGCATAAACGGCATAATTGAGCCGCATATATGGACTTCTATCCACCGAAGAAAGCAAGCTAAGAATGGGGTGTTTGGTGGAAATCATTATTGTTTGAGATTAAAGACTTGAAATTTTGCAGTCTTTAAATAAGTTATAAAAGACAGACTTTATATTTTTACTACGACGTTCAAAATAAATTATGTGTTTCTTAGTTTCTTAGCCCTTCTGCGTTTCGAAATAGTTGTGGATGTTAAACTACCACGCGTGCGAAGCCGCGAGCACCAGCTAGTATTAAATATAACAAATACGATTATGTATTAAAGTCTCAAAATGAACCAATTTAAAACTAAAAATCAATTAAAAAACATACATATTCACAAATTTATTAATGAATAACAAAATTTTAGGATTTATTTATAATAAAAACAGAATCCTATTTTTGTTAGCTTCATGATCAATATTTACGAAAGTTTACACACCTGATTTAAAATTGCATCTGGTTGAGTAAACAACTGATTTAATAGTTTAAAATATTAAAATAACAAGTAAGACGGAATGGAAACTGTTATTTTTCTTTATTTCAAAATTATTTAGTTCAACTTTTCATCAATGTAATAAAACACTAATAAAAATGACCATAATCAACCGCAACAAATCTTGACAAACCAAGAAAACATCCTGTGTATGCAAATTGCGCTCTATACGAAGGACTGCCTAAATTTAGCCACAAACATTAATAAAATATAAACAGTTTAGCACCAGTTTGATTTTACGTTATCGTTTAATGAAAAATCCATTGCGTATGCTACTAAAGTTAACTATAACAAGCTAATAAAATTATATAAACAGTAGTAAAATCCTTACAGGAAACGCAAAATATTTACGTACACATCATCTTCCAAAATGAATGAAGTGGACGACACAAATACGTGAACCGCGTTTGGTTTTAGATGTCTGGTATGATGCTATTTTAATTTTAACGCAAAACTTACATAGCTGATCCAAAAAAAAAAAAAAAATTATATTTTCGACATTAGGGAATTAAAAAAAGTGCCAATTTTAATTTCATAATATGCGCCACATGTTCAGTACAAAGCTAGAGCTTGAGGTATGATAAAAGCTCGAAATTACCGTCAATGCACTAGCTTCAGTTTCGAAAATACCATCAGCGATATCGATTTTGACAACCAAATACAAGTATTGCACAATTTATACATTAATCAATAATTTCATCAATTTTACAATTCTTTTCCTCCTTGATTCTCCAACCACTCGATATTATAATACAATTTCGTTTCTTAATAAAAACGCCACAAGTTATCAAACATTAACATGATCGATCCATAGGGTCTAAACCAACAAAAGCTTCCTATAATGCTCTTCGTAAAGTTTCGTTCAAGTCGGCTCCTCACCTGAAATAGGGATTTCCGAACGGTGAACAGTAGAACGGATCGTTGTGCAAATGCGGTACCATGGGACATATGGGGAGAGGCCCCATGCGAGGGTGGTGGGAGCCCGGGGCTCCCACCAAGCTTTGCGCTCCGTTACAAATCGTGCTGCTGTTGACGACCGGACTGTCAGTTCGCACGGGCATAATCCGTACAGGCACTCATATAATAAAACACAATCACTTACGCTAATTCACCAACATAACGTCCTCACCGTGGGCTCCACTAAATCGAATGTCAACCGCATCCACGTGAACTATTCCACGGAGCGAGCGCCGCGCACAACGACTCCGAACGAGAAAGCGAAACGCTTGATGTCGACGTTTCGTTAACCTGTTCCTCTAGGAATGCACGAAGAGGACTTGTGCGGGTACCTTGCTTGGTACCGCTCATTCATTTCGTATGTGTATCTCGAAATAGCTCAAATTCGCGAACCACTCTGATAAGATAACGGATAGGTAAGAGGTAATCAGTTTTGGTACAAGGTAATTGATCAGTTGTACACAAAACTTGCGCAATTATTTCACAACAAAAATATTTCTTTAGAGAATTCGTCAATGAATGAATGTTTTGTTCAGATTCAATGCTTGCGTGTCTATACGTATACGTATCAAATTAATAACAAATGCCACAGAATCGCCAGATCTCGTTTAGTCCTACAATGAAAAATATGTTTCAGTCATAAGAATCATTAGTTATTGTACTCATCGAATCATACTCCTACAAAACCAAAAAAAGCTTACAAAAATCAGGAGTGTAATTTATTAATAATCTATTTATTCACTCCTTTTATTATTAAAAAATGTAAAAGCGTTACTTCAAAAATCTCTAATATGTAGTTCAAAAAATTGTATTTAATGGTTTAATTTGTCATCCCAAATCTGATTTTTCTTTTTATCCGACATATTATTATTTGTTGTTGTTTTTTTCACTTTCTATATACTCGCGTAAATGTAAATTGCACATGGTTCTTTCAATTCTATTTTAATTTTGGAATTTGTGACAGAAATAAGTAATTCAAATTGTGTGGATTTTCATGTTTAAACATAGCCAGTATTGCAATTGAAATTAGAGAAAAATCAACAAAATGGAACACTTTTCGTAGTTTGAAGTAGAATTTTTGTGTTAATACAATTTGTGTAATTCCATTTTATCACCACAAGTCATAAATTTTGACGTCATAAAAACTAGCTAATTTTTTTTAAGTATTACATTTGAAAAAATTCAGCGTGTAGAATAAATTTTTATTCGTATTTTGTTGTAGGTATTTGTGTGAAAACAGATTTGAAACGTTTTTGTCAATATTATCGAGTTGTTCAACACTTTACCAACACTTCACTCAAAATGACAATGAGGTCACTTAACCAAATAAAACGACATAGAATTTGTTTCTCTCGAGCTCTAAAATTTTAACCGTGAAAATAATCAATAACAGCAGTATTTACATATGCATGTAGACCTTTCTAGGAAAGCAAAATAGAGAGGATATGTCCATACAAAGTAGCTTTTTCGTTTTACTATTGGTTCAGATTGTGTTCATTTATTCCGCTCGAAGCTATATTGTGATAAAATAATTAAAACGCTTCAAGGCACAAGTGCTAAAACTTTTGTTTCAAACGGCGCATTCATAAACTATGCCATTCCGTAGCTTGTAGTAAAATAGAATCCGATCGTTGTTCAAAAATGTAAATTGCAAGTGATAACACGTTGACTAATACATTCACGATGTCTTCTTCAGTAATATTCCAGAAATTAATTTATCGTCTGCATTTTATATCGATTCTTAATACATCCGGAAACATTTTTACAAATCAAAACGTAACTTTTCAATGATAATTATTTGTTATTACAGATCCTGTTTATAATCGAGTTAACACTTCTTATATCCTTGAATAAGTCATCCAACTCTACATTTCAACTGTAAATCTCTCAAGTTTTCAAGTTTAAAGCTTCAGCATGTGCTTTGTCCAAGTCAACTGAAACCAGTATACGTTTTTTCATTTGTAATTAGCAAGCAACGTACGTGGTACACCCACTATAAATTTTTCCCAACATAAAAATGCAAACGGGTTATTTGAAATCAGTGTTTTTTATTTAACTCATTGTGAGTTAAAAGGATATTTCAAGAGAAAAAACGTTTTCCTTTAGTAGTCACGCTGAAGAAAGAGAATCGATTGATACTGTCAAACTTTCAACATTTTAGTGGCAATTAGGAACATTTTAGTGCACATTTACTACCGGACGATTGATTAGCTCAAACATTATTATTAATTCACCATTCATAACAATTTCTTTTCTTTGATAAATAGAGACTATGTTCATAGTCGACCACTTGTTGTGGTTTGCCACCAGTTTCAATTTTGGAACAATGGTGTAACAAACAACTACAAAATTTTGAATTGGTTTCGTCTAGGTTATTATTTAATTCACATCAATACGGACATTGAAACCAATCAATAATGAATAAATTATGTGGTGTTTTGATGACTATTGTCATAATCTGAATTTCTGATCGATAAACCAATTGGGTCGAGCTTATTCCCTTAAAAATACAAACCCTCGTTTAATAAACACGTTCTTAAAATTTAAAAAACACAGCATCGATTTGTTATCGTTAATCTATCAACCTTATTCCTCCCGAGTCAACATTCCGACGGATGCTAACAAAGTGGCAATGTCAAGGTTGCGATAAATTCATATCATTTTGAAAATTCAACACGAATTACTGAACCCTAACAAATTTCGAAAGGAATTAATCACGATCGATGGCCGCGGAAGCAAACAAAGCGACATCCGCTAAGTCGTCCTTAAAGGATGAAGCTTATAAGAAGGTGCGTGGTATGAGCTTTACACCGCACGTGAACTTTGGCAGGCGTATACAACGAGGACACGAAACACACACCACTTCCTTCACATGATGGCCTGATGGAACTGAATATTCTGTAACCGTCGGCATATTCCTGGCGCGATATTGATCACAGCTGGGTTTGGAACGCAGGGCACGCTAACTCTACGCCGGCCACGCTGCCCACACGTTTCGGACAGATACGACCAAAAACCATTTTTCAAAACTGTGACCACTTTACGACAATTTTTCATTATCCTTCCTTACACAACAATTCCTAGAATTTTTTCAAATCTCTAATTGTGTGCGGTATCACTGCTGAATTACTCTAATAAAGTTCTACACCGCTCTTACAAGACAATGAACTTAAGTTTTCAAGTAACTTTCCCACTTTTTAAGTTTTTTGTTTTTATACTGGTTTATTACGTCCACGATACATCAACCGGAGCATTAAGTTGAGTTTTATTAAATGCACTTGCTGACAATTTTTCTCTAGATTTACGAAATGGGGGGTTATCTCAAAGTTACGCAACTGCGTTGGATAGATTTTTGTCGCACGGAGGAGGAAATCGATAAGCGACTATGGCGTAAGAGAGTTACCACCATTCATGTTAAAATTGGACATCAACGTATACGCTTCTAAATTAATTAAAGCAAGGAAATGCTATCGCAACTTGAAAAATCGGAAAAGCATTCAAACAAAAAAAACTAAATACAAAATAACCAAAATAACTAAGTCTGGTAAATTTGTGCAATTTTATTTTAGAACTTTTTCGTCTTTGATCAAACACTAAAAACATTTTCCAATTTCAGTAAGTTGTTAATAATTATAATAAAAACACCTTCAAAATATTATTACTTTTAGACATCTGCAAAAACGAACAGAAAACTTTTCACTAAAGGCCGTGATCCGGTCTTGTGCGTATATCATTGATCTTGTTGGAATTTTCGCGAATAACTCCTTTATACCTATATAGAGAAATCGGGTCGAAGAAAATTAAAATCCAGCTTCTGCAACCCTCGCTTACAACTTGGCCTTGGTTACGTCACCGAATTTAGATGAATTTGTCAATGCCGTGTAGCTTGGGGTGATTCATATGTACTTTATAAAAAAAAACACAGAAACAGATTCGTCCGACTTGCTTCTTCTTGAAAAAAAACTGTTATTGCAGTTTTAAAAGTTTCAACTTAATCAAGAGTTTAATTTTGTACGGTTGGACATATACACACACATTAGAGTCTTTATTTCTGGGTCAATTTTATTTCTTTAATTAAAACAGCGTGAGAGGACTCAAGCCGAAACCGTTAAAACGCCACAACTAGCTTTAGTTTTACTAAATTAAAAGTTTCGGTAGCTCAAAGTACCATCACATTGTGGTATAAGCGTAACATACAAACAGAGCTTGTTAAGGTTAGAAAGCCAAACTAATTTTCGAATATGTCCCTGTTAAATAAAAATGTTCCCTAATATAGGTGCGAGGAGTTCTGTCTTTATAATTTACCCGAAAGTTGAAATAAAACGAACCGAGTACGGGTGAAATTCCGGGAACTTCCTCCCATATCCATTAATTATAGCTACTCGCCTAAGCAGCGACAGAACTTTTGGGTTTAGTGACTCCGGTTACTGAGTGAGTGCATTCTATCTAATATGCGTATAGGTTGGTAGTATTGTCCGCACCAAATTAAATCCATCGAGATATCAATCATTGCGATGGAGGTATCTGCATGCAGAAGTCACCTCCTCCCAACTAAGATAAATAGCTGTCAACCTAAAATCATCCATCAAAATTCCAATTGAATGATACGGTACAACAACCAAACGAGATTAATAAACATTTAATGAACTTTTCGTCACCGATGTGCATAATTGACAGACGTTAATTATTGACCGCGGCTTGCCCACGAAAGTATTTCAGAAATTCAAATTGACCGAGCAGGAAAAAATAAAAACTGCTCTACTGCTCCTGTCGGCTTGTTAATGATATTTTATGGAATATACCTGGATGCTGGGCAGTGAACGCATCAGATACACGTTGTTCCATTAATTATTTTAAAGTCATCTATATTGTCCATAGTACAATAGAACGTGAGCCAACCCTCGATGGATGAAAAAAATTGCTCGACAATACAAGTACAACATAAGACACTTGTTGCTTCCATTTACTAATTGGATTATATTAAAAAGGAATCTTTACATGCTGCGATCATGACGTTAATTTGATTAAGTATTGCGATGTCACGAATTTATTATTAATACGTGATGCATTTTATAACGACACCGACGGGAGGATATATTTGAGAAAATTACATGCAAACACGAACCTCAATAAGTTCCCCATTTTTGCGTTATTTGCTGGTTTTCTTATAATACATAAAATTTTGATTAAGCTACGTTTTCATAAAAATAACGAGACACAAAATTACTTTTCCGCTTTTCAAGTAAATCAAAAACTTAAACCATTTCAGAGTGAATGACACTTTTTGTAACATTTTTTAGAACTACATTATTACTACATTATGAATTAGAAATATCCCACAGACAATTAAGCTCTAAAAACTAATGATCGTGTATTTTGTAATCCTGCATTACTCAAGCAGACCACTGTGATGTAATGCAATATAATGAATATCACTTGAAAAACGAAATTTTAAATAAAAAATTATTGGGTCTATTGAACTTTCTACAATATGAAATATTCATTCATAATCATTTGACAAAATATTGTACGGCATACACAAATTAATATGGCATACTCGTATAAACATATAAATTATTTTTGTTTCGTTTCGCAAGACTGATTTCGCCATTTAAAGTTACTACATTAACTAATAACAAAAAAATTAACAGCGATTAATAACTATAACAATAACTATAACGTTTAAACTTTAAAATTCCAATATTTTAAAGCATTCACTTTTTGATTCTAAAAACTAATAAATTTAGGGTTTTCGTTTTGTAAACTCCTATTGTTTACATGTTTATTGCAATAAATTTTTAAGAAATCTTCATTTAATATTTGATATGTATGTGTCGATAAGTATTTCGCCACACAATCTTATTTTTCGATTAAACCTATATAAAACGGGACATTAAAAAAGCTAGAATAACAATGTTCTAAATAGCTAATTAATCAGTTTGTGTGATAGCCATTAACTCTATAAAACTACAGATTTATTACATCCTTTGAGTGACAATGCTCTAATTTGTAGACAATCTTTAATTTATTCTTTTTCAGACGAAAAATTTTGGCGGGAAGATAAAACTATTTATAAGAAGCGTTTTAAAACAAGAAATAAACTGGAATGCGTCTTGAAAAAGTTCTGGAATGAAATGATCACAAGAGTTATTGACACTGGGTTTCCTGTTCGGTAATTAACAATATCCTGATGAAAAAATCAAATCGAAAATAGCCACTTCATATTTTCGCAGAAAGTAACAATTAAAATTAATTCATTTTAAGGAATAACCATAACAATCTACAAATTTTACAAAAATATTATTATTTCGTGTACGTGAACGCT